AGAGTGAAAACAAATAGTTTGTGTGTCAATCCATAGAAGATCTTGCATCAGCTATGAATACACACTGTAACAATTAACCGACTATTTTCAAAGGATTGTAGTGATCGTTTTCTTATAAAGTGATCTAGTTTTCATATACTTATTTTATCAACCTACAGGACTATCATGAATAATAATGATGCGTTTAGACTCGACTAAGTAGTATGTCTCATGTATATTTTCCTATGAGACTGTTTTCATTCACCTTGATGACACAGTCCAGAACGCATTCTGTGTATCGTTTTATACAAATTGCTGTGAAAGATATACTGATCGATATCTAATATTCTGGATAGGTGCATTTGACTGTTGACCAAACTGAAAAGAAAATATTGAAGTCAATGATAATCCTGAAAGAACATGTACTGAGTCCATTCGTCGAATGAATTGAATGAAGATCTTTCAGTGAAGAAAATTTTCTTCTTGACGATATCGATTTGTGAAGCTGTACAATCTTATTGATGGTTAATTTATTCAGCATGTAGTAATCCGTAGTAAAACAGATGAGTCGTACAAAATTTTCAAAGATAATCAAACATCTTGAATTGACGGACAATGGAAATGAAATGGAACTGGATAAATAGGATTCTGTGTAGTTGTGTGCTCCAACTGGGGAGAAGAATTTATTCCGTTCTCTATCCTCAAGAGCAGGAGAATATGCACTGATGACACAACCCGTGATGAATTGAACATAGTCGGACGAACACTTCTGAAGAATGGCCTACAAACCATGTCAACTTCTGTTGTGAAATATCAGCTCACTGAAGTCAATGTTGTACGTTGGCTCAACTTCGTTGATTGGTTAAAGTTAGAGATTAACACCGTTGGATACCGGCTGGCTCAGTGGTCTAGTTGGTTAAGCGCCTGGTGCGAGGCTGATGGGTCCTGGGTTCGAATCTCTGGAGGAACGGAGTCCTGGTTGTTCAATGCTGAGGAATCCTTTACTGGGAAGGAATGGCCGCCCAGTACTTCTAGATTTTCCATTATGGTCCAGCTTCAATCAAATCATGATTTCAATCAGTGAAATTTCTAAAATCTCCACAAAACCCCTTCTGAAAATGAAATATTTACTGTATCGTTCTCAGATTTCACATACATTCGATTGTGTCCACTCGTATTCACATTCACTAATTCAATAATATTGTAAAAATTCCTGTATTTCGCAATAAACTACTATATACTTAGTAAATCCACTATAAATACCATTGTACAGCTTCACAAATTGATATTGTCAAGAAAACCTTTTTCTTCACTGAAACATCCACATTCATTTTAATGCTCATTACTGATAATCACAATGACAGTGATGAGTAATTTCAGATCTATGATGATTATCATAGATTGTTTGTTGGTCAACTTTTTTGTATTTTGTCTTCTCTATTTTGATCAACTGGACAATTAGCATTACCATTTTTATTTTACTAGACACCATTATGTGTTTGACAACAACCTATAAGTATCGTTGAAGTGATTTGGAAAAAACATCATTGTCTAACAGGAACATATCCTTGATAAACTGTATTTGTTTTACTTGAACATATAGTGTTCTTCTTTCATCCCCTCGAAACTGTTTACTCTAAGGACTGCAATTTGATAATTCAGTCATGAATATGTGTTTGTATATGAATGGAAGAAAGTTAGGGGTGGTCAAACCAAAACCTGGCATCAGTGCTTGAAGTCACCAATTTCTAATCTGAGCCATGTTGGTAGATGCAGACTACTTGGTTGAGGTCCGCGTGACTATCGTAACCAATGGTTGAATACTCTTGGTGACATGGCTCAGAATCGATCACAATGTCGTTGGTGAATACATTCTTTGTCTTCCCTTAAACTAAGAGATTAAAATTGCTTCATATCTTTCTTTCTACGAACTAATTCTTTTTTCTTGTACTATATCCCTATATGCAATCTTTCTTTAACATAGTACCACCACAGAATTAACTACTATTATGAATCCAGTGCCCATCTTCTTGTGTTAATGAGGTATGGCAACTTGGACCGATGCGCATATGTGCCTGGGCCTACGTTGTAGCATTATTTTTATGCATTACATCTATTATATGACTATATCTAATCTAATATGTAAATTCACATATGAAATATATCTCTCACGGTTACAATAATGATGATAATGGTGAATATGATCTGAACGCCGATTCACTGACCTCAGCTGTTGTTTGTAGCAATGTCAATTATTGTACTTTCTTGTTGTTGATCATTATATTTTATATTATGAATCAATTAATATGATATTCTCTATTGAATAATGAGCCTGATATATATTTTAAATACAATAAGGAATTTGGCTGAATAATGATGTTTTCATATGATTGACAATCACATACTCACACGGAACAAAGTTGAATGAAATTTTCATTATATTACTACTACTGTGGTGTGTGCTACTTATATTGATGTAAGTAGTATATGACACTAGTCAAAAACGGAATGTCTGGCAGCAGAAGTTGAAGGAAGATCAAGAAAGAGAGAGTGAGCACACAATACAATTTGTAAGAGAACGCATGAACAATGAAATGTAAGACAATGGATTGATGATTGCAACAGGAACAGTCCGGTTTGGTATAATGTATTGATATTTTGCAAATTAACGATCTACTATAGTGCTTTCCTATTTTACCGAGTAACTCTGTAGTTTCGTGCTAATTACATTCGGTTGTCCTCACCGATGTTCTGTTCACTGCAATGCTACTACTGCTTTTCATAGACGATCTTGATTCAGCTATGAATAAACACTGTAACTATTTACCATCGTATTTCAAATGAGTTTAATGACTATTTTCACATGTTATCATACGTTTTTCAATCTAAGGAACTAATATAACTAAACTTGATGTATACTGACTATAAGAATGTTGTCAATCATCCTGATGACAAAGTCTACACTATGTTCTGTGTATCGTTTATATCAACTACTGTCAGAGATACACTAAACGATGGCCATGACCTGGATAGATAGATAGTTGGTGTTACTGATGAGATTTGTTGATTGATTTAGACAATGTTTGATGTTTGCAATCTGTCGGCAGAAATTCGTGAAGACAGGTTTCATGGTGGTTGGTATAAGTTATTGAAGATTGCCCTCACTTTTGAAGAAACAAAAAATACTCCTCGTGTGATCCAAACTCATATCACTCAACTTTGCTGAATAAGAAGTGGATATAATCCACACTTGCTGCTAGATGACTCAGCTTCTAATTTAATAACAGGATCTATATTATGATCAAAAATAATCGATAGTATTAAGAGTGAGTGGGACAATATCTGTGAGCAATTAAGCGACACGCGTTTCAGTATGGAGTCATTTGCCGCTTCTTTATCAAAGCACGATGATCTTAGGCAAGAACTAAGGACACCCCCACCTCTCAAACTGACATTGTCGAAAGATATGGTTGCTGTGGAACTTGAAGACACTATTTAAGTTGAATCTGTTGTCAAATATATCGCTAGCGAAATTGCTAAGCGAATGATTCCTCGAAATAACGTGATTATTTATAACATATTTGACAAAATCGCCCCTAAATCAATAAGGAACTCGATTTTGAGAACAGCTCACCTTCAAGAAAGTCCAGGTCAGTTTGTTTCCCTCAATAAAAAGAACAAGGAATACTTGTGCCCTATCTTGTTCACATTCCATTCTCATTCATTTACTGAACAATTGAAGGAATCTGAAGGTTGATGTATATACAGAACCGTCTGGTTCCAGACCTAACAACAAAAATATTACAGTCGTTTTACCACGCAAAAATATACTTCCCGAACAATGTTTTGCCCTACTAATCCTAGTTATATGGGCACACTTCGTCCAAACGTCGCACAAGATGGCCAACACTGCCGTAGTGTAAGCAGGCCTAATATTGGGCAGACCCTTTTAGAGAGAAGCTTCTGTGCTGATTCCAATATAAATTTATCCTTTATGCGCACGCTACTAAGAATAAACATGCAGTGTTCTAAGAGAAGTAGAACACAAAATTTGTACATCAAAATACGTGATTCGTTGTTATAAAAGTTTCTACTTATCCGTAAGAGGTTGAGACTTGGAGGTTCTTTTCGATACCTGTTCCGTAAGCGACAAATCCTAGAAGTCTACCCCTGTATGTAACTTAGATTTTGTTCTAGTATGGAACAGCTTGATAGTGGGCATCCATCTTTTTGTACTCATAAATCGAACCCCAAACTTCTATCTCGTTCACGAACACTGAAACTTTATACCACTGAGTCGGCACCCTACAATGTTTATGTCTAACTTCAATCAATCTATAACCTTCAGCAAACATTCATCGATTGCTTGAGGTAGATAACCATCTCATACTCAACACAGATTGACTTTTACTGATCACAGGTTTTCTCCAGAACTCTAAGAGTAAAATCTTGATGTTAGTCACGAAATAATTATCTATAATATAAGTCTTCTTGTTACGACTGATATTTTGGTTCTTATATATTCTTGACGTATGATTAACGCAGTGGAATTTTCAATAGTTTATGTAGTCATATTAACATCTTAAACTTAACAAATCATGAATTGATTTTACCTAGATCACTACTAAAACCAAAGTGTCACCGAAAGAGCGGTTTTATCACAGTCTGATATTCCACGGCAATGTAAATCCATGACGCCACAGATTGGATCAAAACTCAAAACGTTTGATCTTGCGCACGATCTATCAATCTTCAGATCATTGAATTGATATCCAACAGTGTTAATGTCTAAATTTAATCAATTCTCTATGTCTTTAACAAACTTCAAACTTTCTATTTGTTTAGTGAAAACAGAACATTTGTTGACATGGAACTCATATAACAACCTAACATAGAATTAGCTTTAGTTAAAACCAATGAAACATCATGTTTACATTAACGTGTAACATACCTCAAGTTGTCTAAGTAAACTACAATAAATAGGTATATAAATGGATGTAAATTCAATGAAATAACTTAATAAAATGTTGATTAGTTTATTCATAATTGGGTTACTTTTTATTGATCACAATGATTCGAAACCATCTAACAACAATGAAACGACTACAGGTAAGGTGGAATTGTTATCTTTGATGTTTTATAGTATCAAATTTGTCTTCTGTTCATAAATATGACCTGTAAGAAGTTTATTTGTATCTTTGCATAAATCATACTGAATATGTTTACCGTACTTTGAATTTTCCAGTATTGAAACCAACAGGTTCATCCAATATGACCAAACTCAATAAGTAAGTTTACTCTGAATGAATCTATTGAAATATAAGTTTATTCATTTAATAGGCTGGTTGATGAGTCGAATAAAGCTAGAACTCCATGAAAAATTTGGATCACTGGACGGCCGTTTCATCCTCAGTGATACTTACTTATGATCTTGCTCCGCGGTATTTGAATCTAGGAACTTTGGGTCCTTACGTGAGTCATTAACCTCTAGACCACTGAGCTTGTCGGCATCCAACAGTGTTAATGTTTAACTTCAACCAATCCACGAAGTTGATCCATCATCCACCATCGTCTTTAGTGATTTACAATCTCATAACAGACTCAGTTGAACTCCATTGATCAGCGATTCTCACCAAAACTCTAGGAAATAACTCTTGAAGTCAGTCACCATTGAGCACATGATCATGATTATCAGAAAGCGTTTTGTGGAACTTTTAGTACTTTTATTGCTGAATTCATAATTTAATTGAACCTAGATTACCATGGCAAATCTGGAAGCACTGGACTCATGAATTCAATTATTATATCATCGAAATCTTCGTAAAACCACCCTTCTGATAACAAGTTTATTCACAGAGTAGATGAATTCTGTAGATTATGAGTTCATGTACAACACTTTCAGGTACCACAGATATCTTTATGTATTTTTAGCTCCAAGAAGATAACTGGTAATAATTCATCCTACTATTTGTTGTATCTATATTTCAGGGGTCAATTATGGTTGTAAGTAATTGTATTTTTACATTACGTATGTTGTGTATTTTATAATTTATGACATTGTATTTTATTGATGTTGCTCGACCGTCTAACAATGTCATTAGTGAGTAAGTGCCTCACAACAGACACGGATTGATTCCACTGGTTTTGATGTCTCACTAGAACTTCAGGTAATCCATTTTGAAACTAGTCCTTAATGAGTACATGTAAATTATCAGTCCATAGTTGTGGAGATTGTTGAATTTTTGATTGAAATCATGATTTCATCAATGTTAGAACACCATCACAAACCTAGAATTACTAAACTGCTGTTTCGTCCTATAATAGGGACTCTAAAGTATATCACATCCTAGATTTTAGTCTCGTGTAAAGGATCGTAAATGTACACTGATCAAGAATCCCATTCTATGATGAAACAACCTTTCAGTCCATCCAGGTTTTCACTGGTGGTCTAACTCATGAATTCAACAATCTCCACAAATCCTCATTCTGATAACTAAGAATCATTAAAGTTGATATTAACACAGTTATGATTTCAAAGACAATCTTACCAATATTGTTAAATGATATATATTTAATCTTGAATGAATGTTTCTACATGGATCTCAAAAATGTTGTCATTATTACATTTTAGGGATTATTTATTTTCATTAATGGATAAAGCAGAATTTTTAGGTAAGCCAAATGCTTATTTTTTTATAGTATTAACCATTTAGTAGTAGTAGTAGTAGTAGTAGTAGTAGTTCGTTTAATGTTCTAATAGTACTGTGATGTGACCTACTTATATTCACATAAGTAGTATATAATGATAATGTCGAATAAAATGTATTTCAGTAGAACATCGAGAAGGAAAGCACGTATACGAAACGCAATTGATGTGCTTTTGTGTCCAAATACGTTCGATTTTCCCCACTCGTGTTCTTGTACACTAGAGCACTATTATTGATAATGTATGTCTACAGAACAAATCGGCAGTTAGGTTTGCATTTCTTCATGGTTATCCCTATGTTGGGCCACATAGGTTATTCTAGTCTCTGAACAGATCAACTTATTCATTCTTGTCAAGCCATATTTTTGCCTTATCACTGATTAGCTTATTGACGCCATCTGTTTTTATATGATCGTATGCGTATTACCTGCTTATCCTATTCACTACTTGTCTTTAACCGATTTATGTTTGAATATAAATGGAGAGAGCTTACTTGCCTGCTCCATTGTGAGTCATTTTGTTTTGCATCACCTTTCGATCAACAATTGCACGAAATAATCGTATTCAAAGATCTATTCTCGTAACTTACTTATTTAATTGCGTTATTCACTAACGTGATTGAAGTCAATGAATATGTTTCCAGGTAGCGAGGATATGTATATTTCGACAGTCATCAACATACAATCAAATAGGAGTCAGATAATCAAAAGCCACAAAAATTCAAAGTTTTCATGATAAATGGTTTTAGGCATAAACTAAAATTCGAAGTTAGTTGTGCTTTGTCAAAGTTAATTAAATTTACCCATAGGATTAATGATCATTTAGAATAATAGGCACCATGTCCAATTTTAGCAGAGATTCTTCAGGTGAATGATCAAGATATTGTTATCTAATCAATTGAGTGTGTTTTTTTGGTAACAACGGACATATCCCATTCTCATGGTAAACAATATACTCGATAAAGTGGAAGTAAAATCTTTGTATTATATCCGAATGAGACGGATGAATGTTAACTGCTGGAATCTATTTATGGACTAATACTATGCATATATTTTCACTATATAATAGTCAAGTAACTAAACTATTCATATTCATGTTCCTTTTATCATGAACTTTATTTTGATCTATGAACTATTATATTATACGATTTACCATCCTTGAGTTATGCCCAGTCTATTCATTACAGTCTTCCACATTCACAGCCACTTTTGGCTAAATCTTGTACAAATGTTGTTTCCTATTTTATGATGTGATGCGGTCGGTTTGATTGGTATATAAACCCCGTATTTTTGAAATACATGATTCATATTGCAGAGGATGAGATTGGTGTTCTGGACTTAACAGTCAAAGCTAGATAGGAAGAAGGTCCGAGAAGGACAGTAGACTGCTCTTACGGGTATATAAATCATTTGTCTGGCCGATAAGTCATTCTATTCTAATTGGCGCTGTCATTACGTTATATTTTAATAGGGTAGAAGATTAGAAATGATAACACTTTGTTTCCTGATCCCACAAACAATAACTCGGTTATCCACTGTTTATCATTTAAATACGACAAAATAAAGGTAGATGATTTAAAAGATTCATTATTGTTTCTATGTTTCAAAATTCAATGAATATCTTCGATCAATTTGGTAACTATTCAAAAATCAATGTATTGAAATGCCCTTTGAATAATGTATATCAATCATTGAGCTTCATTGACAAATAGCTTTAACTAGTTTGTTTTTACTTTGATATTGTTTACCATAATAAAGTATATATACATAATGTATGAATTCTATTGAAATTGTCTTTCATTTCTATAAAACAAAGATCCCAAGAGTAAGTATCAACTAATGTGTTAATACTACTCATATCGAATTGTGATCTCACTATATGAATGAATATGATGATATTTAATTTAAATTGTATGTTCCATATATCTAAAGATGATCCTGATCTATATATGAACGTTAAAAAGAACAATCTCTGAAGAAGTGACTTACACTAAGTCACGAAACGTCAGAAAATCTAATTTTATACTCATTAGGATATTACAAATATGCTTATTTATTTATAGGCAAAAATAACATTTCAAAATACTTGTATAACGTTTAAATGAACTGTGACTAGTGAAGGAATCGAAGATATGTAGTTCATCCTAAATGAGACTAGTTAGTTGAATGAAACTATCATCTGTATCCAGTATAGTTCAATGGATGAAGTTAAAGGTAATGAATTCAAATCTCATAATGAACTTCCAATTGGAAATATTAGATAGACCGAAACGAACAATCTGCATTTCATTACTCTAATGCGAGTTAAATAGATAATTATATGCCAGTATCGATTACATGTATGTTTCGATAACATGTAGTAAATGATCCACTTGGAATCAGATATCTGATCATTAAAAGCCATCAAATGAATAAAGTAAGCGTATTAATAGAACGATAGTGTTTATTTTATTATAGAAATTACCTACTAGAGTATTGACTATTATCCCTTGAAATATATTGAATGAAGTTATTATTACTTGTTAGAATAATAGTAACTTAGTCAATGAAGTTGAATGAACTTCATATTACACATTATTACTGAATAACTACATTGATCAAACTGTGGTATGGGTTACTTATATCCACATAAGTAGTATATAACGGTGTTCAGGTATGGAATGTAGTTCAGTGGAAGATCGAGAGGGAATGAACGGGAATGCAACGCAGTTGGTATGAAATGCATGAACTATGAAATCTGAGGCATAGACTAATATTTGCAAAAGGAACAGTCAAGTTTGAGACGATGGATTGATATTTTTCAAATTAACTATTCACGGTATGGTTTCCAGATGTTATTGAGATGCTCTGTAAGTGTGGGTTCAAATACATTCGATTGTCCTCACTTCTGTTCATGACCAGTGGAGCTAATCCGAGTCGGGTAGATAGGTATCTACCTCAGTACAATGGGAGATAGTCGCGTGATTTCGTGAATTGGTTGATGTTAGACACTAAAACAATTGGATGCCGGCTCAGTGGTAAAGTAGGTCCTGGTTTAGAATCTCGAGAGGTGGGATCGTGGATGCGCTCTGCTGAGTAGTCCCACAATAGGACGAAATGGCCGTCTAGTACTTCCGGATTTCCAACGGTGGTCTAACATCTTTATCACAAAACGAGTTATTCTCCACTCCTTTTTAAATATTAATAGTTTTCTTAAATATATTTGGCGAACTATAAATTCAGCCATTTTTATGATGTTGTTCAAATGTCTAGAATGTTCCGATCAACCTAATATCATTTGGTAAGTTATAATCTTCTTAAAATGGTGTTGTGAAGACAGTGGAGCTTTTGATTGAGATCATGAATGAATTAATGTTACGCTACCGTTGGAAACCTAGAAGCATGGAACGGTGTTTTGTGCTAGTATGAGACTCCTGAACAGTGAGCATCCACAATCTCTCGTGTGAGATTCGAACACAGGACCTCCAGTCTCAGTCTTAACTCTTAAATTGTATAAATATACTTATTTGTAATGATAAGGAATACTGCCTAAAAATGGCAACAAATATTCAAGTCCATATTAGCTTCATTTATAAATTGCTTGTCCCATTAATCATGAAACGAGAAAATTCATCAATGACATATGATTGTCATAATCCGTCAATCACTTAATATATATAAATATATTTATGGTGTGGTGTGTGCTACTGATGTCAGCAGATATAAGTAATATATATCATCAATCGAAAGTGAAATGTCTGGCAGTAGAAAGTTTAAGAGAAGAGAACGAGAACAGAGAATCATTGGTGTGGAAACGAATTAAGAATGAAGTTTGAGGCCCTACAATTAGAAAATAGATTCAAGGTCTAATGGAGAAATAACAACTTATAACGTATCCATAAAGTTTACAGATATTATCAGGAAGGGGTTTTGTGGAGATTGTAGTAATCTAGTAGTTAAACTCATGAGTCGATTAAAGTTAGACATTAACATCGTTGAATTCCGATCAGCTCAGTGATCTAGACGTTAAGCGTTCGTGATCGAGACCGACAGGTCCTGGGTCACTTTGGTTTAGGATCGTGGATACACATTACTCAGAAGTCCCATACTAAGGCGAAACAGCCATCCACTGCTTCAAGCTTTTCATATCATTAAAACATTGATACAATAGTGAATGATGTAATAATTTGAAAACGCCTTTTTCTATTTTATAAAAATCAGCAAATTTTCAAATATGATGTAAGTTATTTACATAGTAACAAAGAAAAAAACTTATATTTATTGTTATAACCACTTCCAAAAGGTAAACTATTCTGAAATGTTTTGTTTTGTTTAGGAAAAGAAACATGTATTGTAATGTATGCTGCTTATATCAACAGATATAAGTAGTATGTAACATCAAACAGAAATGGGAAACCTGGCAACAAAAGACTAATAGGATTGAGTTGATGCGAATTGAAGGGGAAAATGAAAAAGAATTGTAGACTGAAAGAATCGTATATAATATGAAGGATAAATGATAGAAATTCGCAAATCAGTTATGTTATTTTTAGTTCTTATTGAGGTCATGAACCGATTGATGTTAGACCACCATTGAGAACTTGGAAGTACTGGACGACCGTTTCGTCCTATTGTCGGACTCTCCATCAGTGTGTATCCACGATTCTACTCGCAGGATTCGAATCCAGGACCCTCAGTCTCGCTCACGAAGAATTTACCTCTAGAGATTCAACTTCCAGGTTTTAAATGGTTGTCTAACATCAATAGGCTAATGATCTCATTCAAAAGCATATTCATTGTCTTACTCCAAATGTTTTGAAGAGATCATTTATCTTAGAAATGCACTTTACACTACACTTCTGTCTAATAGTGTAAATTACCCAATGCTGCCTTTTTTAAAGGTAACATTGTATTATAACATTCTTCTCAATGCAATGATGCAATATGGGAATGAAGAACTGATTATTTACCTTCCATGAACCATTATATTATTCTTATGTTTCTTTCTTATAATTAGTATGATCAGTAAGAATTATGTCATGTTTGATCTTTCAGTGATTGGTTTGTCAGTTAATTACATTTGGATAAAACTATTTTATCATTACTCTTAATGTATTGTAATCAAATGAAGTGAATTCCTTTAATAATGATAATAATAACAATGTTCTCTTAAATTCACTTGGTGTTGTTTAACTTGTTAAGGACTACAATTGATGAGTCTCATGTTGGCATATGTGCATACTGTGCGGATTTCCTTAAATGACAAGGTTTATTTTAAGCAAAGATGGATAGTGACGAGCAGTAAAATTCAGTTTGACGCGTGTTTCATCCTATTTGAGACTTGTCAGCTGGATGCACTTGCATCCCACACTTATCTATATCCAGCTGACGAGTCTCAAATTGAACGAAATGCGCGTCAAACTGGATTCCACTGCTCGCCACTATCCATTTTTACTTAGTAATGTTTTTTCTTCAGTAAACACTTCATTGACAAAATGTCAATCAATCGTCTCAGAGTTTATTATTCTTTCGTTTCCATAGCATCTATTCTTTTTCTCGTTCTCTTTTCTTTGATCTTGTTAAACTTCTAAAGCCAGACATTTCACTTTAGATTGATGAGATATACTACTTTTATCTGTTGAAATCAGTAGCATACACCGGATTAACAGTTTTTAAACTAACTGATGGATTGTGAATGATTGATATTCATTTGATACAGCTATATTTAAAATCTTTTAATGATGATTAGTGCTATACTATACTCTTCGAGAAATATCTGGTATTACAAACATTTACGTGAAGTTTTAGTTTGAGGTTGCGGAAACGGTTGAATTTCAATGAAATCATGAATTGATCAGTATAAGACATTCATTGTAAGCCTGAAAGCACGAGAAGGCCGTTTCTTTCCGGTATGGAACATCTCAAAAGTGTACATGCACAGGACCGTGCACAAGACTCTAACCTAAGACCTGCAGTTAAATTCATTATATAAGTTGGATTCCAGTGAGTTTCGAAATTTAATCTAAAAATAATATGCTTTCCAGCTGAAATGACCTATACATGTTTAGTACTTCAAATTAATTACCTGAAACTGGTGACAATTCCTATTTCTGGATCTTCAGTTAAGAAAGGAATAGAGAGAATAAAATCCGGTGAAACTACCACTTTATGGATGAACCAATCACATTTAAGATAACAGATCTTGAATTTTGGCGCGAAATTCATTCACCCATTTGGCTAAATGCTAGTTTTGGCATTATAGCTGATGTCAATTCGTGGTGAAAACAATCAAAGTTTTCACATTAGGCTGCAAGCAAGTAGAATACTCAAATTTAAACTATCATCTGTGGTGTTTTTTAACCCAGACTACTAATAATGAGTGTATATTAAGCTAAATGTTTGTAGTACATACTTAATTGCTTACGCCTGTTAATCCTCGCAAAGGAGCATAGGTCGCTCACCAGTATTCTCCATCCAACCCTGTCCTAAAAACTTTTTCCGGCTCCTTTCAGTTTTCATTCATCTTTTTCATATCTGCTTCTAGCCTTCCTCTTTTCCGTTTCCCTTCAGGATTCCAAGTTGAGGCTTACCTCGTGATGCAGGTTGATGATTTGCGTAATGTATGTCCCATCAATATCCATAGTCTTTCCCTAATTTCCTCCTCAGCTGGAAGCTGGTTTGTTCTCTCCCACAACAGACTGTTGCTGATGGTTTCCGGCCAATTGATGTTGAGTATTTTGCGTAGACAACCGTTTAGAAATACTTGTATTTCCTTGATGATGGTTGTGGATGTTCGGCAAGTATCAGCTCCGTACAGTAGAACTGCCTGAACATTCGTATTGAAGATTCTCACTCTGATATTGGTTGAAAGTTGTATTGAGTTCCATATGTTCTTCAATTCTAGGAATGCAGTCCTTGATTTCCCAATTCTCGCCTATACGTCTGCATCTGAACCTCCTTGATCATCAATGATGCTTCCCAGATATGTGAAGGATTCTACATCTTTCAGAGTTTTGCCACCATGAGTGATTGGATCGCTGTTCTCTGTTTTCACTTTGAGGACCTTGGTTTTCCCCTTGTGTTTGTTGAGGCCTACTAATACAGAGACTGCTGCTATACTGGCTGTATTTATCTGCATTTGTTCATGTGTATGCGAAGAGCTACAGGCTGAGTTGTTTGGAGTAGTATACGATATCGATTCTGTAGAAAACTATTTAAGTTGAGAATGTTTCAAACATTTTGCAACGATTACTATATATTATCTTTCTATTGTTATATTGGTTGGCACTATTATCAAGCCCACATAGATTATTCTATCTTCTTTCTCCTAGCTTCATTCTCCATAAGCCACATTTTGACTTTGTTAATTATTGGCTTATTAACCCTAACTGTTTTTGTGTGCACGTCTGTGAGTAACTGCTTACCCTACTCATCACGTATCTGTAACTGATTTTTCTTTACTGTATACATTGAGTTACTTGCCTTTTCCACTCCATGTCATTTGATTTCGCTTCATATCATTCGTCTGATTGTCTGTCTAGATCAATGATTGTATGAAATACATGTATTCGTAATCTATTGTCATATAAGACTTATTTTTAATTCTGTCATTCACTAACGCTATTCAAGTCACTGATTGTTTACGAAAGTCGGTGGTATGTATATTTTGACAGCAACAATTCATACTATCCATACGACGAATCTAACGCAACAAACTACGCCAATGTGAATAATCATCCGCACTCCATACTTTCGACGAACCAACTCATCGCAGCTTTATAAAGCGATAGCCTCATCGATAATATTATCATACCAGTACTAAATTGTCATGCAATATTTCGCATAAAAATTACAATGAACACTGTTTCAATGTTTGCCTAGTGCGTTTTACAACAATCATCATTCAAATTTGAATAAATGATTTTGTGATGTGCTACTGATGTCGACAGATATAAGTAATATGTATCACTAATCGAAAGTGTGATGCCTGACGGCAGAATGTTAAGCAGATCGAAGAACAGATAATGAAACAATGAATGATTGTTGTGGAAATAAAGGAACTATGGAGTTTGAGACGATTGATTAGGATTTTGCAAATGAATTGCTCATTGTATGGTTCTCAGATCATACTAAGAAGTTCTATAATTTTGTATTCAAATAAATTTGATTGTCCCCATTTTGAGTTCTCGTTCACTACAGTTTCACTATAAATAAAAAACTGTCAAACATAACTGATTCACTGAATTCATCCCATACATTCGACTCCTAAGTACTATGAAACTATACTTTCACAATTGTATTAAGATTATAATGAAGTAGTTTTTTAATCCTGCAGAAAAATCACCAACGTGTTTGTCCGAGAATCCTCAAAGACAAATGATCAGACAATTCGACACGTTCAATCAAAGTCACACTTACAATCATGAAACGTTTCTGTTGAAATGTATACATCAATCCATCTAGACGTACATGAACAGGATGTATTTATACTCGTTAGCCTGGTATACTGATTTGATCATGATCATATTCTTAGGTTTATTGATTTTCATTCAGTAACTTGATGAACATCTACTTCAAATGATTCCTCACCACATGATTTATAACAGCATCTATCATATGAACAATCATTCAGTACATAAATATTTATGATCCTATTTAATTTAACTTATCATTCTTGCCGCGAAAGAAACTTATCACTGATGATCAAGACAATTAGATGTTCAAATCATCCTTAAATTCAATCACTGAGCTTTGTACAAAAGGAAATCTTCCTTTCTTTTTCCACTCTCTATTGAACATGACCTAAGAATGAGATGGTAAACTGGACTATAATGAAATACATATTTCAGCATAATGTACTTATTGTTAGAAATACAATTCAACAATATAAGAATGAGCAATTACGTAAACGAAAACGTAAGATAAAACACATGTTCATATGTCCGTGATAAGTAAATGATGTTCATCAGTTTCTAACTGAAAAACCAGCCCCTAAAAAAGAAATTGTATAATCATTATTGAAACTTGGACAATGTATCGCATATTTATAACTCATCTAAGTGTATTGTAGTCAATGGTTACATTTACATTTCCGCTTATCTAAACAGTCAATTAGTTCACGTATGTCTTTCGGTATATTGTAGTTTCATCATGACTAAACTACAGTACACTTGACATATTCATAGCATGATGAAATGGTGATTTCGTTGTATGAAACTTGACATTTTTCAAAAATCCAGTAAAAACAATAAAGAACAAAACAAACCCTCCATCACTGATTACACCCATTTAAATAATAATTTCCCGCTTCGTTTTGATTGGTTAATATATATTCAAGGTCAAAAATGCCGTGAACAAATGAGGTTATCCTAACTCATTATTGATATTCATTACACAGTATTCATATGTGTATAAGAAAGATAGAAATAACATACTAATCCACATAAAAAAGAAGAAACAATGTAAAGCTTCTCAACTGTCAGGTTTCTACATAATATTGAGAATAAAGTTTTAATATACCAGGAAACAACTATCATACATATACAATCAGATTACATGTATCATCTAATATTGTACATTGTTTGAAGATACGAATAACGAGTGGTACATCCTATCGTCTGTTAAATACATTGTTCATTTGTATTGTACAGTATTATTATTTCTGAAGTATGGAATATAAATTACTACAATCTTCACAAACCCCATTCTAATAATAAACATCATGTCTTCAAGATGTATTTCCTAGAGTTCTGGTAAGAAGCCGTGATCAGTGCAGTTGATCCATGTCTATTGTAAGGCAGTTACTCACTGAAGGTTATAGTGGATAGTCGTAAAATATCATGGATTAGTTGAAGTTAGACATGAACACCTTCAGATGATGGTTGGATGGTCTACAGGTTAATCGTTCGCGCATGAGATCAAATGTCCTGTGTTCGAATCCCTATATTGCGAGATCGTGCATACGTACTACAGAGGAGTTTCATACTAGGATGAAACAACTATTCAATATATCTAGGTTTCCAATAATGATGTATCTTTAATCGACTCATTAATTCAACTATGAAATATGTATTTAACGTTTAGAATCACAGCACTACAATACACAACATGATGTAGACAACTTATTACATATTGTTTACTCTATACAAATCTAAAGATTATAAGTATGTTTAAGTATT